ACATAAGGAAACTGGATGTAAACTTTAAATAGCGATTTGGAAAGGAGGATCAGAAAACTTTGTTGTTAAATATTATGGATGTTTAGCTAGAATAGGACATAAGAATTTAGTGTTAGTGGAGGATTTTAGAAATAGTAATTGAAAGGCCAGTATGTGGTTATGTATTAAATTTTTGTATATTTTATGATGAAGGACGCTTAAACAATTATAGTCAAATGAAAATGGAGATATAATGATGGTGACATGTATAAATATTTGAGTTAAAATACTTAAGTTAATATGAATTATGTTTGTTGACTGTGGAAGAGATGCACAAAAGTCTTTTTGTAACCAACTGATACTGTATTTGTTTTAAATTAAAAATTAAAAAAATATATTAAAAAAGAAGTTGATATAGAAACAAGTACATGGGCGGACCACAACCCAATGGTAATTAAATGGAAAGGATAAAGGAGAAGGTCTAGATGGATGCTAAACAACACTATATTAAAAGAAAAGGACTTTGTACAGAAAATGGAGAAAGAATTGGCACTCTTCTTTAAAGAAAACAGAAAAGAAGACACATCAATGCAGAATAATTGGGATACAATGAAGGCCTACACTAGAGGTTTGATAATAGACTATACAAGGAAAAGAAATACAAAGAAAAGACAAGCCTCTAAAATATTAGATGATGATTACAAAAGACTTGAAAAAGAGTTACAAAAAAGGATATTAAAATAAAAATGGACACAATTAAACATAAAATGGGATTAATGGAAAAGGACGAATTAACACAAAAAAATAGAGGTGCTTAACAGAATTACTTTGAAAATGCAAACAAACCAGACAGATGGTTAGCATACAAATTGAAAAGAGAGAGAGAATTAAGAAAAATAATGCAACTAATAGATGATCAAGAGCAAATTTGTTATGGAAATGAAGAGAAGAAAAAAATTATACAAGATTACTATGAAAAATTGTATGAAAAAGAGAATATAGAAGAGGGAGGAGTCAAACAGTATTTGCAGAAAGTGAATTTACCCCAGATACCTAAAGAAACTGAAATCATGCTAGAAGACAACATAATGATGTTGGAGTTAACTGAAGCACTTAAAAAACGAAACAATGGAAAGGCTCCAGGCCCAGATGGATTGCCAGTGGAATTTTATAAGATATTGCAGGAATCATTGTGTCTTCCATTTGCTAGAAGTTATGAATGATGTTATGTCAAAGATGAGGATATCCAAATCGTGATCAGAAACATATATTACCCTTGTACCAAAAGAGGAGGCCAACCCACTTCAAATTATGAACTATAGACCTATTTCTCTACTAAATTCAGACTATAAGATATTTGCTTCAATACTGGCAGAACAACTTAAAAAATATTTAAACTATTTTATTCACCCTGATCAAAGTGGGTTCTTACCAAAGAGACAAATTAAAGATAATATGAGAATAATTCTGGATGCTCTGGAATATTATGAGGCACATCCTGAAAAACGAATGGCTTTGACGTTTTTAGATGCATAGAAAGCCTTTGACAATGTGAACTGGCAATTTATGTTGATGCAGCTGGAACAGAAGGGCTTTGGTAAGAAATTTACCCAAGCCATACAAACTATATATCATAAACAAACAGAAAAGATAATGATAAATGGAGAATTGTCAGATTCTATTGAAATAAAGAAAGGGACGAGACAAGTTGTCCACTATTGCCTCTGTTGTTCGTCTTAACATTAGAAGTCCTAAATAGAAACATCAGAGAAGAGAAAGACATAAAAGGAATGAAAATTGAAAAGGAAGAATATAAATTGCAGGCATTTGCAGATGATCTGGTCTTCATCTTAGAGGACCCACTAGAAACTGCACCTAAATTGATAGAAAAAATAGAGAAATATAGAAAAGTAGGAGGTTTGAAAATAAATAAAGATAAAAACGAAGAGTTTGACAAAGAACATGCTATTAAGACAAAAGGAAGAATTTTAGGAAACTTTGATGAAGTAATGAATAAGATCAATATCTGGGGATATATTTTACAGCAAGATGTAGTACATTTAAGGAGAACAATTATCATAAACAACAAATTGCGACAGATTTGGCAAAAGGGGGGAATTTACAACTATCAATAATAGGGAGAATATCAACAGTCAAGATGAACATACTACCCAGGATTTTATATTTGTTCCAAACAATTCCAATTAGACTAGGGAAAGATTATTTTGATGATTTAAACAAAATAGTGTTGAAGTATATTTGGCAGCGAAAGAAAGCAAGAATAAAATTAAAATTATTACAAGATGCTAGAATAAGAGGAGGATTTGGATTACCTAACTGGGAATTATATTATCAGGCAACAAGTTTAATGTGGGTTAAGGAATGGATAACATTAAGAAATTCTAGATTATTGACTGTAGAATAACATGATTTGTTATTGGGATGACATGCTTTTCTATGGTACAAGGGAACTAAAACACAGGGGTATTTTAGAAGACATATGCATGAGGCTTTGCTATTAAATTGAGAGAAGATTAAAAGGCAACATTATTTTAAAATTCCAATCTGGATATCAACTATTGAAGCCTTTTCATATCCAATAACATACAAAAAGGAACAGTTAGATATGGTGAAATATTGAATGCAAAGGGTGAATTTAAATCTATGCAAGAACTGGAACAGCAGGGTATACAGATGAATTGGTTTTCATATGTGCAAATACATTCTAGATATGATAAAGATCTTAAAATGGAAGGTTTCCACGATAAAATGACTTAGAGATAAAAATTTTGATAGGTACTGATGAAAAATTAATTAAAAAATTATGGATACTTATTAGAAGTTAAGCTAGAAGAAGAACAAGTTAAAGAATCTATGATTGCTTGGGGGAAAAACTTTGGACATGGGATTGCCTTAGAGAATTGGCAGAAATTGTGGTCTCAAAATTATAAAATGACAATGTCAACAGCATATAAAGAAAATTTCTATAAGATATTTTACAGGTGGCACCTATCCCCGATGAGAATAGCAAGAATGTTCAAGAATAAATCGGAAAAGTGTTGGAAATGTCATCAGATACCGGGTTCATATTATCATATGTGGTGGACTTGTATAGAAGCAAAAAGATATTGGACTAAAATTCACACCTGGTTGGAAAAAATGAAAAAAAAATTTAAACCAGAAATCTTTTTATTGGGAATTATACCAGAAACATACAATAGGGAATTGAAATACCTGATTGTAAACGTATTAAGGACAGCTAGAATTGTATTTGCTAAAAATTGGAAAAATGACAAAATACCAACACAGGAGAAAGTTATTTACAAAATAATGGAATGTGCTGAAATGAGTAAATTGACATTTGAAATTAGAGAACAAGAAGATAAACAATTTTATAAAACCTGGGATTTATTTTATCAATAGTTAGATTAAAAAAAATGGAAATGAAAGACACTAGAGTATGTTATCAATACAAGAATAATAGAATGATATTGAATATAATATAAGGATATATTATTATTGGGTAGATTGAAGATGATGTAATGAATTGTTACAATATAAATGATCCCAATATTAAGTATCTCTCATTGAAAATGAAGAAATGTTTAGTGATAGTCAAACAAATAACGTATAATGATAATAATGTATACAAACAGTTTGGATTTGATAACATGTGATTTTATATAAATTGCAAGTGATGACTATGGAAAGGATGCACAAAAACCTTGTAACCAATCGACACACTGTATATAATGAAAGATGGTTTTATGTTTTATGTCTTGCTTGTTAGTGTTTGTTTAATAAATAAAAAAAATTACAAAAAAAAGAAAATACCATGTTTTTATTCATTCCTTTGTAAAACATATATAAGAAC